CTGATCAGTGTCTCACACAGACAACCACGGCGGATCCATTGGTGGTTTTTGAATAACCACTGTTTTGAACGTTCCATGTGGCTTGCATCGATCTGCGTCACGGTCCAAGGCTAATGGCGATTTTTTTTTTGGGCCGTGAACGAGGTCTCCTCTCTCTTTTTCTCTCTTGTGTGTGATATGTGTAAACGACAGGAGACCAGCGTTCGAGACAAAGTTCGTGCCAAGAAGGCTTGAAAGCAAGAACAAATTTGGTGCAATGTTCGGATAGCACGTGTATGATCTCATTTGGATGTTCTTGGAAGCCAGGCTCGAACACCTTACTGCAAAGCAACACAGGTCGAAACACAGCAAAAGAATGTGTCACTGGATGCTGATCTTCCCCATGTCGTGGTTGCAGTGGAGACATAACTATTCACTACTTCAGTTCTCAGCCATCCACACACCCAAACAGCAACACCAATATTGTTTTCGTTTTCGAAGGATTTGCAGCCCAACCGTTGAACCTGCAATGCTTCTTGCCATGGAGCGCGTTTAGCGCTGCAGCGAACACATGTCCTTCTACCGGGAAGCCACATTTCAGGTTCAGTGCGATCTTTTGAGTTTTGAGCTGATTTCAACAAGATAGTGAGTCCCGAACGTGTCAAGTGTTTTGCTTGAAAGGTGGGCCCTACCCGGGTCAGCCCCATTCAAGATCAGCTGTGTTCGCGGCTCAGTTGAGGCAAGCGTGTCGGTAGAGGCAGAGAAGGCATGGCAGAGAAGCTTTTCTGGATGGAGAAATGAACAGTGCACCAGCTGTGGTCCGAGGTTGGAAGCAGCGTGCAACGGCAGAGCTTGGTCCATTCAGCCGGTCAGGTCCAGCACATACTGCGTCACCCGGTCCGTACCGCTGGGTGGCTTGGCGTGCATTGCACATGTGGGTTTGTCGAATTGTCCACATGCGCCACGAACCTGTTGCAGTCAGCAGCAGTCTCATCCAGCTTCCCTGCACAGAGCCTTGTCAAGGAACTTGTACACCAGCCTGGCCCTCCAGTCCGTCGACGTGGCAAGGCACACCATCATCAACAGAGGTGACAGTGACTGAGAGCTTTGAATTGTCCATATTGCCAAAGGCGCCGAAGGACTTGGACAAGGAGATCTTGACAGCGGCTTGATTGCAACATCAAACGCTGCTTGTGCCTGATCTTTGGATAAGATTTTGGCTCTGTGTGTGAGGGCCGTCGCATTGTGTCTACCTCAGGCTCACGAGATGCAGCGTGAGGCTTTAGCACACCTGGCAGACGTTTGGAACTTGAAGCCTGCCACAACCCCAGCACAGTAATCGACTTACGCGTTGCAGCCTCACACGGTTCATGTCTTCAGTCTGAGGCCGGGATTTCCTTCCGTGCGCACAAGTCCAAGCCCACTCCTGGACCGCCAGCTGAGGCTGCACATCTTGGTGGCATGAACTGTGCAGTAGTGTGTTGCTGGCTAGCTGTTAGCTCCAAGCACGGAATTCTCACAACTTCCACAGGCTGTTCTCGCACTTCCCGAGCTGGAATCTTGCCTCAACGTCTCGGATGAGGCGATGCCTTCTGCTCTATCCATGAGTTCACCCTGAACCCGAAAATCTTCGAAGGTGGAAGCCGAGCGACGCAAGAGACAGGAGCCGGAGGACACCGAACCCAACAAAAGTTCAGGTCTATGACACTATGAATTTCCAAAAGCCAAACCAATGTAACAGACTGAACCGCGTAAGGCATGATAAGATGACCTTGGGGAGCCAACAGCATCCTCACCGGAAAGACCTCAAGCCTGAAATCCTTGATATCCGGGAGGACGAGGTCGAACGTCTGCGGAGAGAGTTAAGGCTTCGGCTGTGAAAGCAACAGAACTGTGCAGATTTCAATGGCATGAAATGGACGGAAGGGTGGATGCGTGTTTGAGCGGGTGTGTAGTGCAGCATTCAGGACACATGAGTGCAGTTGGCCTCTGTGCCTAGTCACCGAGCTTGCATCAAAAACTCGTTCCGCGAGACTTGCCCCACTGGCCGCCAGCTTGGCTTGAATGCCAGCAGTTTGTACCGGAACATTTTGCTTTGTCTGCTGCCAAGAAAGTTACGTTTGGTTGACAGGGCTTGCCGGAGCTGCACAACACCAACAAGTGCGAGAACCGGCAGCTGCCTCGCGAGCAGACAGAGCTGGTGTCCTGGCCCAGTCCTGGCCCAGTCATGGTCGTATTGCCATTGATTGCAAACGCTGCTAGTACGTTGACATGACAGGCTCCCGTATAGTTCCTGGTGACATTGAGGTCGTGATTCCTTGTGGTAGTCGTTTCATAGGCTGATTTTGCTCTGCTGCGCTGTGGCAGTGTTCGGAAGAGCTCCGATTTGGCGTGTGAGTTCAAGGGTCGCCATTGTTGCCGTCACTACCCCTGGTCGCACATTGCCCACGTTGCTAGAACTGCTCCCTGCTTCTGCTTTCGTTGGTGCTGCTAGCACCTCCAGCAACGCCGATTATCACTGATATTGTTGCATAGTTTTGTTTTATGCTCGATGCAGGTAGCTGTAGTCGCTCTAGGTCTTTCGTATGTAACGTTTAAGTTCTACGGGGTGACAGATGGGNNCCCATCTGTCACCCCGTAGAACTTAAGTCACTAAGAACAGGAGGGTCCCGAAGCACACTCGAGCAGATGAATGTGGGGACTCGGTATCAGGCAGGTTGATCCCAAAGTCCTCCCTCGTTTTGATGGTGGCAGCCCAGTAGCGCCTTTTCTATTGATGGGAGTTTCCTCTCCAACGAGGGTTTCGTGCATGTGTTTCCACGAAATACCGGCACAAGCAATCGCTCTTTCTCATCCTGGATAAGGAGCAGTGATGCAAGTCCTCATGCATGTGATCTGTACTGTTTGTTCATGAGTTTTTTCTGCAGGTTTGGGGTTTTGTGCTGCTGTGACTGAATTGTGGTGCAGCATTCTTGATTATACCCGGTACATAGTGTTTCATCTAGGGAAGTAAACCAGGTGAGAATGTACAAGAGTGCATCTGTTCGCTCCCCTGTCAATCAAGGATGTGATGACCTGTTTCGTTTGGATTATATATTCTGGGACCTCAGATCGTAGAATCAGCCAGCAAGGCCATTCCTGTGTTTTGTGAGTGGACGGTTTGGTTCAGGATTGACTCTCTGCCAGTCTGATGTAACACTTGCTGTCGCTACCATCCTTGCTTACCTGAACAATGGATTAGCGCATCCTTGGCGTAAGTACTGGACGGAGAAACCGATGATTTTCCTGTAGCTTCTCCGAGGCGGCCGTCCAGTCTGCAGGAAGATGGCCCCGAAGCCGGGTCGATACGCGCGGCTACCGCCAGCGGTGCCCTTTTGCAACGGAGTTTTTGTTTCGAGTCACTTTTTTCGTTCACTGGCGTGCAGGGAGTAATGCTGATTCGAGCCACAAGTCACTCAGTAGCAGTTGCACTCAGTTACTCTTTTCACCTCAAAGGGCTTTGGAACTTTGGGTTCTTTCCAGCTCACCCGGAACATCCAAGCTCAGGGAACGAAAGATCACCACTGCGGCGGAGCGACTTGCAGTCTGCCGGCAAAGCACCTGGCATGGCGCAGAAGCTTCTGGCGAGGTTCGGTTTTGTGGATGGCCCGTGCTGCTTCTTTGTTGGTGCATTGGTTACAACCATGTTTTTGCTGTGCATGCATATGGCTTTGTCTATATGTTCATGTATATGCACATGTGCACTTGTACTGGTGTTATCCTCGTTTTGCGTGTTGTTTGTTGTCAGCATCCTTAGCTTTTTGTGATACTCGTGCTTGTAACAATCTCTTACAACTCTCCTACTCTTGTTTTAACTCTTTTTTGTACTTTTGTGAGTACCATTCTGATTACTTGTTTCGCTCTTGCCACTGCTGCTCTGGGTTGTTTTTCATTGATCCGAGAGCAGCAGCACTGGTGAACAGCATATTGACACTCCCACAGATAGTTTTTTTGGCTCGTCCGAGTTCTTTGGTTAGTTTAGGTCTCTACCTGCCCGTCTCGGCAATAGTAGCCTTGAATACCGGGCTTTGAGACCCCAGCTTCTTTGAGAACCTTGGAAAAGGAAGGCAAGTGATTGCGACGTTCGGGTCGGTCTTGCAACCTGAATGTACCAGGATGATCAGCGATGACTGCATGGATCCCTTCGTCTGCGGATTTCAGAACTTAGTCAAAGTGTGCTGGAGTGCAGCAAGTAGAATCTAGAAGTTGTAGTCCCGAGGCGGTGTACGGTCGGTCGGAAACGACAAGCACCCGGGTTTGCAAAAGTTGGGGGTACATAGCGATATCTTTTTGGTGCAGCAGTGGTGGAATAGTAGTAGCACAGCACTAGTGGTGGTAGTAGTCGCCGTCGTAGTACGAGTCGCAGTCGTAGCAGCAGTTGCTCCTCCTGCTCTTTTGCTGCTGCTTCGGGTGAAGCTCCAAGCCTCGGTCCTTCCTTGCAAGGCCGGGGCCCAAAGCGAGTCCGACCTCCAAGAGGCCTTTTCCTAGGACGGCGCGGTTCTACCGGCGGCCGGGCTGAGACGCTCTGTTTTTATCTAGGGCCTCTAGGGCGAGGCGTTGCTGAAAGAACTGTTTTCAAGCTTGGAGCCTGGCTTCGCCTGGCGGGCTGAGGACCGAGAATCGACGCTTCCTAGTCCGAGCTTTTTGCTGGAGATTTGGGTTTTGTGCTGTTGGCGTTCCGGTTGTAAGGTCACGCAAAGGCCTTGTCTCCTCCGGGCGGTAGATGTGGCTTCCGGCCTCAAGGCTTGGAAACCCAAGTCGTAGCAACTCGTCAAGACATGCAAACAAGGCGTGCCCTGACGCTCCGGAGAAACGATGCATTGCAGACAGAGACTCATCAAGGCCACGGCCTTCAGTTAGACATGACACGCTTGCATATCGATTGTTTGTTTTGTGGTTTTTCATGTCCATTTGATCGCCATTCGGTTGTAAGAAGCAGAACATTCTTTCATATTCTTTCGATCCACTTGCATGAAAATGCAATGGCGAGCTTCTGCAACAGTGGGCAATCTTCAGTGCTTGCAGGAAACATAGTCTTGTATCCGGACGATTTCGGGCATCGCACCATGATGACGCGTTCCAGCAGATGCAGATCTCGCGGGCAGGTTGGATTTTTTCCACGACGGGTGTTGATATTTGCGTGCTCGTTGTTAAACCACTCATTGTGCTGTGGTTTTTATGGGCAGGCAGGTTGTGTGATCCTCCTTGCCTTGGCGCTTTCCTGCCGCGAGCTGCTGGAGGCTGATTGGGGAGCACGTTTCTTGTTTCTTCTTGCGTTTTCGCTGTCGTGGGAAACAGTCAGAAATCGTGAGACTGACAGGTATCGAGGCGTAATGTGTCGTCAGTTCGTTCCCGACTGACAGGTCCATGTTGGATCGTCAGCAACATCAAGCACTGCCTTCGCCATGGAGGTCGCCGAAACATGACTGAATGCCATTGGCAAACCCGTCATGATCGCACCTGACAAGCTTCAGTCGAATGCGTTAGGTTTGTTGTGGTGTTGTGGTTGTGCTGCAGGATTTTCACGCAGCGGGCTTGCGTGATGCAGCTGCTTCGCTGTGCAGCTTGTGTGTGGCTGCCGCAGTGATGATTCCCTCTGTCTGCCAACTTAGCTCTTCACAGAGTCATTGGTAGAGTATTGTGAAGATGCTGTGCAGTGACCGTTGTGGCTATCAAGCCTCATGCCGTCTTTCGAAGGTCATGCTCGGTCCAGTAGTGGCTATGCCACCAGCCTGTGCCCTTCTCTGCGCACAGATTGCCATGATCTATGGGTTGGCTCCTCATGTTTCGGGATCGCAAAGTCGACTGCATCCATGCACAAATAACGAATGTCAGTCGTGTGAGGCAGTCATTGCTGCTGTGCTTATTGGTGGCAGCTGTTTCGGCAATGCTCGCGTGGCTTTCCTCGGCACTTGGTGCTTCAGCCTCGGGAGCATGGGTTTTGGATGCAAGATTGCATGGGCATCTAAGGCACGGGCTTCTCTTGGTTCCCAGCATCGCGTTTCAATATTCTTTGCCTGATGCTTTGTGCTAGCTGCTATGGCAAGCATCGCAATTTGGACCAAACCACGCGCTCCCCTGTGCACGTCAAGGCCGATAGTCCTCGGCCCGGGAGCAGGTACGGGGCTTGACATCTGATGTTTCTGCTGTTGCAGACTGAGTCGGCCTCTTGTGGGGTCAGCGCATACCAGTTCAATGCACACGCCTGTTTAGGTCTGTGCACTGCGAAGATCTTGGGCGGAGACCGCTGTGTTCTGTTTTGTGTCGCAGCCCTTACCCTACCTGTTCTGGTACACTGAACAACTGGCATGTTGTAGTTCAGGAAGCAGTTCATTGAGTTTTCCGTTGGCAAAAACTCCCATGACAGGTGCTTTGATGCTCCGAGTGATGAAAGTTGCGAGCTGGCAGTAAACCGACTGCCACATCAGTGGATCCCACTCGGACCTGAAGGCTTCCGAAGATGCTCAAGGTCGAACCAGCGTTGGAGATGGTGCAGTAGCGGGGTCGACCAGACAACCACAGTCATCCGGGAGAAGGTCGTGCCGCCTCGTGCCGGTCTGAAGGCATGTCCAGACCAGGAGCCGCGCTGGACCGCTGGGAAACGCCAGAGCAAAGTTTCGAAAATGCAGGTCGCGAGTTCGAGTAGGCCGCACGCAGCTGCTGCAAATTCAGGTTTGATACATAGCAATGGGAAGCCCTGCATGCCGTGGCTTTTCTCAGCTGACCTTCATGGAGGCATGCTTACTTGCCGGGAGCGACAGCGCAACATGCAAAGAACAAATGCTGATTATCTGTTACCTGGCGCATAATTGCACAAGCATGAGAAGTACCTCACGCAGCGACTCGCAAGTACTCGTTGCAGCTTCACCTGTGGCTGCTCTGGCTGGCAGTGCAGGCAGGAGTGGCTCCCACATCTTTGACCCCTTCCAGCCTTCCAGTGCTTAGATCCCATACCCCCACCTTGCAGGGAGTGTCTTCTGTTGTGAGCAACTGCTAGCTGCTAGCCCATTGACCCTGAAGGCACGCGCTCGATGGCGCAAGAAGCCGGAATGATTCCAGGCCTGCGCGTACCGACGACAACTTGTCATGTGCGTGAAGAGGACGCGCCGGCTTGACAGGTTGTTTCAGTTCAAAACATGCTGTGCGATGCAGGCCTCCGCGAGCCTGCCAAAAGGACCGTTGAAGCGATTCAACTATGATTGCACTGTTTGATCCTTGATGCCCTTTGATCTTTTGCGGAGTCAGTGCTCCTCCCAAATCACAGGAAAGGCCTGCGAGCACGCGAGCTGGACTTCCATTCCTCTTCAGGCACAGTGCCGCTTCCGCAGCCCGGGTGCCTGGAGTGAGTGACACAACTGGTGGACGCAGCGGCACTCAGGTTTCCGGTGTGTTTGTCAGACCGAGGTACAAGCCAATGTTTGATGTGCATTTGCAGCGTCTGCCTCAGATGTCGCCCTTTCACCGCTTTCAGACTCGTGCAGTGCTGCAGCGGTTGAAGTTTGAAGGCACCTGTGGGTCAACCCTCGGATCAGGCAAGGCGTGCTTCTTGGTTGGCTAAGGGCCCAAGGGTGCCGGTGCACTACCCTGGGTTTCCCGACGGTTGAATAGCATCAAGTCAGGTTGACTGATGATCGACTCAAATCCTGACAGTTGCTGTGATGTTTGCACGAACTTGCTATGATTCCTCCTTGCTTTTGTCTGACGAGCATTTGCTGCTAGATCCTGGAGCCTAAATCGGCTGTCGACTTGCTCGCAGATCAGTGTTTGCAGGCAGACTATGCAGAGTGCTGGCTTCCTCGATGACGATGGTAAGCCAGTCGATGTTGAAGCCTCGGCATGCTAATTTGCGGCAGCTGACAGCTTGAGCTCAATATTGCATGCACCAAGCCACCTGCTTCCTCTGAACGATTGTGTGGCAGCTTGGACTGACTGCATGCGCGGCAACACGTTTGGTATGATTTGCGGTCTGTGCAAAGGTTGATGCTCACAGACGGAAGTTGTTTGTCATCGAGCAGGACATTCCGATGTCGAACTCATCTTGCAGCTTACGAGTCACAATATTGCGATCCTTATTCACGAATCAAGATCGTCTACTTTGCATGGCGGGCCCTTTGACAAAAGCCCTGTGTCACCCGGTATCTCACAATCGTGCTCTTGGGGAACGAGGCTTGATTCGACGGCTTGTCCTAGCTCCATCCGTGTGAGACGCAGCAGTATCGTGCCTTTTCGGTGCATGGTTCCGCAGGAATTGGCGCAGGCCGACATGGTGGAGCGATACCGTGCCAGGGACAAGGTGTGCTGTTGTCACTCGCGATGCTGGAGCTTGCAAAGCATGCCAGTCAGTAGCTTGCAGTGCACGTAGACTTGCATGCCTTGCCCAGGAGAGAAAGCGCGAAGAGATGATCATTTTGGCAAAGCGTCAAGAAGTTCATCAGCAGCGCATTGATGCTGCCGGGTGCCAGGATGCGATCTGACTGATCATTCCGGAGACGCATTATGGCTGTGTGATTGTGCCCGGGTTTATTGTTGAGGTTCAGGCTGTTCGTGAAGGACGCCGACGGCGTCGACAAGTTGGGCTCTCACATTTTGTGTATTTATCATGTAACTCTTGCATGCACGCTTTGCTTACGCCTCTGGCTTTGTTGCCTGAAGCTGGCAGAATGTGTGGCTTCCTTTTGCTCCCAGATGGCAGTGCTTAGTCAGTGTAGTCATGGAGAGGCTCTTCAGACTCAGGTTCTGAAATTATTGCAAAATCTGAAGGTCACTGCGGACGGCATGGGTGCTAGAAGCACAAGCAGCCTGCCGGCTGGGATCCTCATGTCTTATCATTCAAGCTCAACAGTGATGTGATTCTGCACAGGTGGTAAGCTCTCGGCAGACTCTCGAGGGAATGAAAGCATGCTCTGTTGCATTTGTGGGTTTCCCCTTGCTTGCTTAAGCATGATGCTGCATGGCACGAATATGTCCTAAACAAGCTGTCCTGTGGAAATTGGCGGGCTTATCAGCTCATGTCGCAGTTGAAGACTAGGACAGGCGTGCCACTGGTTGCAACTTGAGCCTTGCCAGGCCATTGGCAATGATAGCCCTGTCTCCTGATCGTGGCTGCACTGCTGCTGGTTGCAAAGTGTGAGATTCGGATCACGGGTCCAAGGCAAACACATTTTCGGGTCTTGGGCTTGGAGGCATGGCGAGATCAGCATCACCCCTGCAGCTGAGTGGGCATGTCTCTGTAATACTCTGCAATTTAAGCCGGAAGCAACATGGGACTTGGCATGGTCGGGACCGCGGCCGCGATAAAGTATCCTGAAACAGAGACATTCACAGCAGCTTTTGTCAGCTCTGGACCCTCCAAGAGGTTCCGATGAGGCAACCGGACTGTTCGATGTCGTGTCGATTGCAGTCAAACAGCTTATGGCAATCGTGCCTACCATCATCCTAGCACTGCGACAGGTGCACGACCATGTTGGTGATTTTGATAGTTTACCCTTCATCGTCGCCATTGGACCAAGAAATCCTGGAATCGCAGGTAAATCATTGACGTCAAGCAAAGCTTCAACAATCCGAACTTACCAGGAGCAGCGGCAGCAGGGTCGTAGCAGCAGTCATGAGCAGAGGCAACTACGAAAGCAGATGTGCTGTTTTCCATACCCCTAAGTTTGGAGAGTATTGCTTGCCATGGACAAGATCTGCTCCGGCCTCGGCCATGCAGTTTGAATGGTCGAGTTTCAATGTAATAAACTGGATGGATTGGTGCAGCAGCAAAAAAGGGCACCAGTAGATGCTGCAAGAACTGATGCCGCTTGCCGTCGCAAGGTCGGGGATCGCGAATCGGCCATGCGCACGGCCGAGGAGACTCGTGCTTCGGCCAGCGTTTTGATTTTGAGGCTACTGAGACTTCTCGTGCATTTTTCCTGGTGATCTATGTTCTGGGAGAGTTCTGCCTTGCAGGACTCTGGCAGCAGATCGACAAATCGGGGGTGGACTTTCGCCGCGGGGGCTTCGTGACCCACACGTCCCCAAAGCTGGAGAACACAGTTCCAAGAAGGCCAGCTGCCCGAGGTTCGAGAGACGGCCGGGGGTGACCCGGAGACTCGAGTGAAGCATAAGCACATGTCTTTCTCTGAGGTATAGCACTGGTGTCGTCCCCTCAGCCTTTGCCACGGACACATTCCGTGAGTCACAGGAGATCTTCCAGAACATGTGCTTGCTTCGCTTGTTCATAGACTGTGCCGTATGATGCACGTGACATGCAACTATGTGTTGACACGGGCAAGTTGGAAGGAATGAGCAGAACAAAAGCAAAAAGATGGCAGCCAGTGTTGTGGGGGTGTATCCTCTTGCTGACGGGGGTTGTTCTCCGACGTTTAGTTACTTCTGCGTGCAGCCGGAATGCCTAAGTGGTCTGGAGGACTGGTTTCGCCACGAGAGTGCGGCTCCTCGACCAAGGCCCTATCTCATGAGTCGAGTTTCTGCATTCCCAGAGCCAGAGATGACAGGACGCCGAATGCCACGCCCCGCAATGCATCGCCTCGGGGCGAAAGAGGCGAGCAGTTATAAGTGTTTCTGTGATGACTGGACCGCAGCTGGTTTGTGAGGGAGAGCTGTCCTACGCTGCATTCCGTGCCGCTTTGAAGTAACATCCGGAAAGGAGCCTTCCAGTTCTTCAGCGCTTGACTGTCTGCGACTGTGGATCATGTTCTGACCTGACCATCGGAAATGTTCTCCCATCAGCCTTCAACCACCTTGCTGAGTCAGCGTGCTGGATTGTAGTGTCGTAGGGTACGCCCGTCTGCTGTCGTTGCTGTGGCCTTTGCTGCTCGTCAATGGGCTCCTGCACCTTGTTTCGGTGTTTCTGTCGTTGGATGCAGCTGCGTGGTGTTCCACGTATCTGAAGCTCAACCGTCGAGCCTATCGCTTCTGACATGTTCTGAGATATTTTCAGCCTCCTCCGCAGGCCTCTTTGGAAGCCGCTCGCCACGGTCTCTGTCGCCCCGCTCCCCCCTTCGAAGGAGCATGTCGGGCCCCCAGTTTCTTTTTGTCTGAGTCTGGCAGTCATCATGTTCTGAGTCTTTCGGCACACACGCGAAGTAAAGCATGGAAATATGCCGAAGTTGCCCGGGCTCCGAACTCGCAGAAGCGTGACTCAAGATTATTTTGAGGGAATGGTCTGTCAGTCCTTACCCCTGGATCTCCTTGAACTCGCGACGAAGCCTGCCATTCGTGTTCGCTGAAACTCTCCTGATCTGCGCTCAGGTCAGCGCGGGCAACATTCCGGGCCGTGCACCTCAGAATGTTCCATGCACTTGCCAATTGTAGAACGAAAACCACACAACGTAAGAACATGCTCGCGTTGCGTACATGCACTGTGTGAGGGGCTGCTGTCAGGGTTCTGCTTGAAGACTCTCCGTTTCTTTTGAGGAATGACGGCTTGTCCAAGCCAAGCTTCCAGCCCTTGCCGAAAATTCGTGATTTCTTTCCACCTGCCAGGACAAGCCGGCTAATCTCTTCGACCGTGCTGACGAGACTGTCTGGCATGATTGAGCCGTTCTGCACGTATGCGCAGATGCAGGTTTCTGTTGTTTTGCTTGCCCCTGTTTGGAAGGTCCTTCTGGCTCAGCCCTCGCACACCGAGGAATCTGAGCAAGGCGAGCTGGCTTAAGATTGCTCACATTGCACACACCTTTCGTTTTCAATGCTGCGTCAGGTGAAGTCGGAGATAGAACTAACTGCGCCTCGTGGCAGCTTCAGCCGCGGCAGGCTGGAGGGCTCGAGAACTGAGTGCAACTGATTTCATGCTTTAGCCGAAACTTTAGTCATATTTAGCTACCTTTGTAGTGCTTATTTAGGTTAGATTATTAGAGGGCATTGAGCTGCGCTGTCCCTGCAGGTCCGAATGTTTGCCAGACCGGATGAGCGCACGACAGCTCAGTGCTCGCCCAGACAGCGCACGACCACTCAGTGCCCGCGTGGATGCGAGCCCTCGACAGCGCGCTGTTAGCCCGCGAGACACGCTGGGACAGGACGGCTCAGGGCATTCGTTGATGCATTGAGTACGGCGACGCACGGCATAACTGCCCTTTCTGGAGACACGAACCGGCACAGTGCCATTGTTCTACAGGATCGAGACTGTCGAAGTCCGAGCGCAGCATCAAGGCTGGCCAGACAATGTTTAGAAAGGTGGACGCAGCCAGTCGGTATGTCGTCTGATCGTGAGTACCTTGTGCACCTTGTGCCAAGTGCCTGTGGATCCCTTCCGTTTCCGCTCTCTGCAGCTCTCCGTTGCCGTGGCCAGGGTGCTCAGTCCGAACTGGAACATGTCCGAGGACTGGATGGCGTGAGCCCGGAAAAGAACACTGAAGTGTGGTAGCTCGAGAGGCCTAAGTGGAAGCCACATCCAGTGAAGCCGTGGCGAGGTACTCGCGCCCACGTGATCCCAGCCCAGTTGCGGTCAAAGCTGACCGCACGATGCCGTGTGGTTGCCCAGATGCAAACTGTGCTTTAAGCTTTATAAAACCTGCAGGCATTGGCAAGTTGCAAGGATTGCCACTGACGCTTCATGTCCTACGACCTAGGGAGATGAGTTACATGGCGGCGTGGGGCTGTGGATGGTTTTGGAGTTATCAGAAAGGTCGTCGAACTTCAGTTCTGCAGTGCGGCGAATGCACAGTGGCCAGCAGCTTAGCAATCGGTCGGCGAAGCTTCCGTCCTTCAGTCCAGGCTTTCAATGTGCATGAGCACAGAAGAGATGGCCACTTTGCTTGTGCAGACAGACATAAGGCAAGATCACAAGAAACTCGGAGAATTGGTGCGTGGCTCAGTATACAGACATGAACGTGTGCAGTGGAAGCTCGGTTAGGGCTGACTTTGGTACACTTCGTGAAACACCTTCGTCAGATTTTGATTATGACTGTTTTTTTTTGATGTCCTGAACTTGGAGTGGACAACGTCATCAGCCTCGCCTGTTTCAGTGGTGAAAAGATCGAAGAAAGGAATTCCTGGTTCAGCAAGCAGCACTTCCCTCAGCACAAAGCATGTTTCACAGGGTGGTTGTTGCCTCTGAACAAGTTCTGCTATGGATGTCTCCATCAGATACTCCTGAGATTACAGCCTCAGCAGTCCAAACTCTGTGACTTAACCCGGCAGGCCCAAGGGATTTCTGATCACACTGCCTGGGACGGCTTCCAAGCGAACAATCGCAGCGCACGTGTCCGAGACTCTGAAGACTCCCAGGTTGAGGATGAACGGCGAGGACACTGCTCGTTGGGAGTGTCGGGAGCGTAGGGCGTCTCGCGAGCAGTTTCGGAAGGCCATGAAATCCGAGAGACAGGGAACACACAAAGACATGAGTAATGCAAGAGTGACAGTCCCAGACACATGCATGTAACCAATGCGCGAGTGTATGAAGTACGTTGATGTCCACATCATTCATCAAGCATGTAAATGCATCTCTATGTACATGTGCGCCGAGCAGGACGGTGTCAATCTCTGCTTGCAGGGTTCCTCTCAATTTGCAAGTAGGCCCATCGGCCAGTGGTTAGGCTTATAAGCAAGTTTGTCTGTCAGCATCGATGCACCTATGTATTGTTAACGTATTGTCAAAATATGTAAGACGACATGTACCCAAATGATGTTTGTACTGCAACACGACACAGTGCAATGCACTGCAAGGCAGTGTAGTGTAGTGAAAATTATGCAAGGTAATGAAGAGGCATGTGGAGTCGGGCAAAGTCATTTAAAGTGTTGCAAGGTCATGTGTGGTATGGTAGGGTCGAGTAGGCGAGGGCAGGGCAGGGATAGTGTGTTGGATAGGGCAGGCAAGGTATGTTGGTATTCTGTAGGTATGCAGGCATGCATGCACTGCATGTGAATGTATGTGTGTATTTACTTTGGCATGCATGTATGTGCACACGTGCGTATGTACATGTGTACATATGCGCGTGTGCACGTGTGTATGTATGTACGCATGTATGTACGTATGTGCGTATGTATGTGTGCGTGTATGTATGTATGTATGTATGTATGTATGTATGTATGTATGTATGTATGTATCTATGCATGTGTGTATAACTAGGTGTAAGTAAGTGAGGAGCGAATTATCTACCGGTCTACCTATCGACCTATCTATCCCCTATCGGGAAGAAGAGTGTTGCAGTTCCAGGGAGAACATGAGTGCCGCAGTTGCTTTGCGCTGTGACAGGATGCCAAGCCGACCTTTGCAGCAATTGCAAACAGACGGGGCCTCGGTCCGGCATGAGCGGCGTTCTGTATGTGGCACAGCCTTGATACGCTGACCTGACAGTAGATAGTGTAGATAGAGTCACTTGGTTCGACGGTTCCTGGAAGAAGCAAGAAGCGCAGCAGTTGTTGCAGTTGGTTCGTACTGCAGCTCATAAGTGTGCACAACCTTAGGCGAGAATTTCCAACTTTCTCGCGGAAAGAGAACAGGCTTGAACAAGGCCTTGGCAGCTGGTGTGATCGCCCGGCACGAAGCAGTCATAAGGGTAATGCTTTCTGTCCGTTCCTGCATGTCACTTCATACTCGAAAAACTGCCTGTGCAGGACCCTGAGATCGCCAAGAAGTTGATGCGCTTCGAAGCACACAGGCCCGAAGCTCGAAGGGTGCTTGCAAGCCTTGCTCGGTCACGGTCTTCACCTGGTTCTGAACAGAACAGGGAAAGAGCATCTCACAGAGCGTCACAGATACATGCTTTCAGCATACTTACACACACACACACACAATCTGGCGACAGGGCGACAGTGTGATACCGACCTCTCGTTGTCAGGGTGCCAGAGCCACCCCCGAACAACCGTCGACACCAGTTCTCGGAGAATCCTCAGGCTGGAAATGGAAGTGTTGCAATTCCATGGCAAGCCTCTGTGATCCATGGTCCGGGCAAGCTGTTCACACGACGTGTCCCAATTCACTCGCCAGGCAGCGAAGCATGTGGAGGAGCGGTTTGCATGCCATAGTGGGGATGTGGAATGCATAGTCTGGTGAAAAGGGGCTGTCGAAAGGATCGAGTCGAAATCGAACTGATCAGTTTAGCAGCCACCACCCTTCCCTCGGGTGGAAGTGTGTTCAGCCTGGCACCCGAAAACGAGCCTTCTGATGCAAAATAAAAGGAGTCGGCTTTCATCCATCACGAAGGAATCGGACATGACCACTGCGCGTTCGTGGTCATGATCAAGCGACGATTGCATCAAGTCAATGAGTCAACGGATTACCCGTGACCCCGCGTCTCGCTTGCTCGGCGAGAAAGCCAAATTTGTGTGTCTCCTGAAATGGTGCGCTGCTTGACGTTCGTCATCTGTGTGACGTGGAGGAGTTGCGCGCTCTCAGCCCGCGCAGGCCAGCAAAGTGTGTTTGTGTGTGCTGGTGTTTGTGGAGCTTGTCCGACTCCGATGGTTTTCGCCAGACTGGCCGATGCCGCCTTGGCCGACACCCTGAGCCCAGCAGGTCAGGCGGCAGAAGCCAGCGCGCAATTTTGTTGGTTCCTGCCTCGCTTCGGCAGGAAAGGCATCCGCGACAGTGTCCGTTCAGCATCGAACCAGTGGCGAGATGGCTCCCAGCTCAGACGAGTCAGCGCTAAAACTGCTAAGTGTGTGGAGTGTGTGGCGGAGTGGCCGTTTGCTCCAGAGGCGGCAGCCGTGCAGCCGGAGCTGTCGCCACGGCGAGGGGGTGCAGAGGACGGCCTTTGAGTCTCTCCAGGGGCTCTGAACTGCCACTTCTCAGCGTTCATGCGGTGACTTTGCTTCTGAGCGTACTGCCTGTCTCGGAGAAATACTTGGTGGGCGATGAGTTGGTGGACATCGAGAACCGCGGCTTGCGCAAGAGCCATGTCGTCAAGAAGGCAGCGCTTCAGCCGGAGACTCCTGAGATCTCGGTTGTTTAAAAATAGCGGCAGTCAGGCGCGAAGTCGACATCATTGCAATTCCGACGAGGCCGTAGACGGAGAGCACGGGAGATGCAGGGGGACATCGGGGGCAGCGCCTTTGCAGGTGCGAGAGCACATCCAGCAGCGGGCCTCTCCTCGCTTAGCTTTGACCACTTCGGGGGGAGTCCGCCTCTGCGTTGCGCTTGTCACGCCAGGGATCCCGCGAGCTCGGCTATCCCGAGCTCACGCTCCGAGCGGGAGCGAAGTGCTCCACCCAGAGTGTCCACCGGAACAGGTCTGCAATAACTTCATACTTCAGCTGGAGAGTACAGAGCTGTGACGTCTTCCCTGAAACTTTGTAACGGCAGCCCCCTACTTGCAGGGGTACACGTCTTCGGAGACTTCTCTGTCGTCCCAGCCACGATGCCGAAGGACACAGCGTCGAAGCCTCGATCTCCGATCCTTCCGACTTTGTGACATGTAGGGATCCGATGCTCTGCAGCATCTTGCAGACCTCATTCCATCCCCTGAGCCGCTTACAAGTTTGAGCACCGGGCAGGTACATACACTCCGGCTTACGCGTCGTGAGGCCCGTTGTTCTAATCTTCCATGGTTGTGTCACCCATGTGATGTGCTTATTGCATGGCAAGACTCCATGAATATAAGGCCTTCGTTCTTTCGTTCAGCTTCCGCTTTGACATGTCGGTGTCGTCAAGGTCAGAGTCTGGATTGTGATGATCATTTCATGCCACTCACTTCTGTCATGATCCTCTCAGAAGCATCCTCTGACATCAACCCTCTGCGTGGGCGGCCATGGCGAAGCGCGGCCACGACGAGGTGGCGGGTGCCGATGCGGGTGGCCCGAAGCCACCGAAGGCGTACAAGAACAATGACTTCTTGAATTCCACGGAGGCCCGGCTGATCCGCATCATGTGCGAGCTTGAGGAACCGAAGGAACGGCTGAATGCCAA